CTCTTCATTTTCTTTCACTCATCTTTTATCTTTCACCTTCTTTTCTAATTTTTATTTTATCTATTTATTTTTGTCAAAAGAAATGCAAAAAAAGAAAGAGATAGAAGAAAGAAAAATACAAAAAAAAAGATGATGATCCGGATTTGAGGGAAATCATTTCTTAAGAAGGAGAGTATGATATGATTATGGGAAGTTTCAAGACATGTCGTCATTCTTTTAAGCGTATCTTTTCAACCACGAAGAATCTATGTACGAAACGACTTGGAAAAGATGCTCAACTCAACTACAGAACTCCTTAAAGAAAAATCAAGTCAAACGGAGTTGACGAAGGAGTTATTGATTTTACAAACCAGGATGTAACAGGATTTTATAAACGGAGTCAACTCAACTACAGAATTCTTTTGTCAACTCCGTTTGACTTGATTCTTCTTTAAGGAGTTCTTTAGTTGAGTTGAGCATCTTTTCCAAGTCATTTTGTACATAGAGGGATATTATATAGTAGAGGGGAAAGAGAGAGAAGAAGAACTTGTAAGAGCATGCACAAGTGCCTTGGAAATACACTCATGCAAGTCAGTGTACCAAGTCTTTGAAATAACAAAAACACTAAATGCAAGAATGAAGAGAAAAGATAGAAAATGAGCCAAGGCAAAGTGATGGGCCTTGGGCCCACGAATTGGGCTTGGTAAAAGGTCTTGAAAGTGTTACTTAGACCTCATTAAAAATCTTGTTAAGAAAACCCAATGGGACAAAACTTGACAAGGGAAAAAGAGTACATAAGCAACACTTAACCCTTTACCGAACCTCTTGTGCGGTGATCTTCATGAGGGAGTCTTGAACCACGTCTTCTTGCTTCTTGTCTAGCTCACTAAATATTTTATTGATTGATTGGTTGAGCTTCCTAAGCCTTGATACTTCCTCCGGTTCGAGCTGCTCTTCGGCTATGAGCTGTTCCTCCGCTATGATGCGGACATCAGAACTACATCTAACCGGGAGCACACCAAACCAATCGGTTCACACACCAAACCGGTGTACATAGAGCATTTTATAGAATCTTTGCCTAAATGGAGTTCTGATAAAGTACAAGGCGAAGGGTTAATTATTCACAATGATATTAACCTTAAAAAGTCTGATAGTTCAAGAGGGATCAAAAGTCAGCAAGTCAACTCACATTATTGTTGAGATATGACTGTTGCACTCTTTTTCCCTTATCTAGGGTTTGTCCCAATGGGTTTACCTAGAAAGGTTTTAATGAGGCAACAACAAGTCATCAAGGAATCATTCACCATCTATATGATTCAAAAATGATAGTTGATGTACATTCTGATCTACTCGCGGACAAGCATGCTGAACTACTCGCTGACAAGCATGCTGAACTACTCGCTGACCGACTGGCTGAACTACTCGCTGACCGACTGGCTGAACTACACCAGATTGCGAGCTGTGAGGATTTGAAGTCTTTTAACACTTGGATCAGCCATGAAGGGAGCCTACACAATCATTTGATTCACCACAAGTCCCCAGCCCATGGAGAACAGCCCAAGAGAAGACCCAAGTTTAAACCACCCTTTGAATCAAGGCCATTGATCACCATGGAGCAAGATAAGGAAACTCTCCTTTACCTTCATATGGACGTGTCCCAAAGCAACATTTGGAAACCAGGAGAAACTCTACATCAACCAGAGAATATTCACGCACAATAATAGTCATTGGATCAGGAGGATTCAATCATATTATTACTCGTCTTGTTTGGAGTGGATCCTCATCAATGCACAACGACTCTTTCATATTAAGTTCATGTGTGTAATACAGCATCTCCAAGTGCACAAGAAGCTTCCAAGGCGTCACTATTACCTTCCCAAGTTGACGAGATACAAGGCACACCTCACTTGCCTTACTTGGACCGATTCTACACTTTATGGTCCAACATCCATATTTTCATTAATTGTTGCGATTTGTTTCTTCTTTCTAGGTTTAGAACGTGTGAACTCAGCCTATATAAGCTGATCATTAGTCTCATAGTAAATTCACCCTTGATCAATTTAAAGTAAAAGAAAGTTTTATTCTTGTCAAAATTTGAGTCTTTGTCAATCTTGTTCTTTAGTTCTTTGTGAGTGAGTCACTTAGTGCTTTAGAAACCTTCGGATTAAGTTTGTTGAGTGATTCAACATCCTTTATTCGTCCATTGATCAAGTGAGTCTATTATCCCACCGATTGAGCGAGTCAATCACCTGAACTATCCCCTGAACCACCCACTGATTCACGAGAGAGTGCTTCTGGCCAGCTCGTGAATTCCACCTTCCGCAAGCTAAGCTTGGAATCTCTTGATCATCAAGTGATCTAAAGTTTGGAGTGATTCCAATCTTGTATCACGCTACAAGCTGCTCCTCGTCTTCGAGCTCTGGGTCTTGTGCGACCATAGTCATATCAGTTTGGCGGGATAGAGTAAAGTTCATCAAGGATCAAACAAAAGAGGTACTTGAGGCGTGGCATGTCACTTATGAAAAGCAAGGAACAAGAGAACGAGTGAAGAGAATGATAAAGTGGTATCTACCATCGCATGGCTGGTACAAGTTGAACACGGATGGGGCCTCTCATGGGAAGCCCGGGTTAGCTTCTACTGGAGGGGTCATACGGAATGAATTAGGGGAATGGTGTGGTGGTTTTGCGGCCAATGTGGGTAGATGCTCAACTCCCTTGGCGAAATTATGGGGTGTCTATTATGGGTTCCATGTTGCTTGGGAGAGATGGATTACGAGGTTGGAGTTAGAGGTAGTTTTGGAAATGTTGGTAGGTTTTCTCAAGACATGGATCGGCGAATCGCATTCGTTGTCTTTCCTGGTACGTCTGTACCATGACTTTTTTTTTAAGGGACTAGATAATCCGTGTTTCACATGTGTATAGGGAAACTCTCGTATGGCGGATGGATTAGCGAGCTATGTTTTGTCACTACCTTTAGGTTTTCATACTTTGGATACGGTTCCGTTAGTCATTGATACGTCATTAGACTTAGTTGGACCTACGCGTCCTAGACGAATGTGTTTGTAATTTATAATTTAATATTTTAATAATAATCGGGAGAGTTTCTCCCAGTCCCCTACCAAAAAAAGAAGGAATATTTGATGTTTAATATTCATTTTAAGTTTTTGATTTTTTTTTTCAAAAGTATTTAAAAATAAGTATAGTATATTGTTTCCATGTTATGTATTAATATAATAATACATAATACATAATTTTGATTTTTATATTAAAATTAAATTATTTTAACTTTGTAATAAATTCGTATTTTAAAAAAATTTTGTATAGGTTTTCATATATTATTATTTTAAATTTAATTATATAGTTTAAAAATTTGCATAATAGTTATGAGCATTAATATGAAAAATTACCATAAAAATAGCATTTTATTATGAAAATTAATATGAAATATTTGTTTCCATAAAAATAAATGATATCCATGTATACCAATTGAAATCGGGTAATGTGGGAGCTGAAATCCACGAACTGAAGTGAGGTAAACTTGAGTGGGCTCCTAATTCCCTGTCCGAACTCGACGTAGAATCACAAATAGTTGAGAGAAAAGTACGTATTTTTATTCGGTGTTTTTAAACCAAAAAGCCGACCCCTTACATTTGGTCCTCTCTACTATTTATACAATTTTAGTGAGCATTGAACGCTCAGCAAACTCCGCTCCGCAAATCGCGCGATTTTCATTAAGACACCGTTTGACCCGACGATAGCCCGTTTTGATTCTTCTTATAAATACTCGAATCCCACTGGACTCCACTTTAGCGGGCTGGGCGGTTCCGATAGTGGGCCTTCTTAAACGGGCCTGAGCGAGGTGGGCCGTTGGCCCGGGACACCAATTCTGGTACCCACAGTATGCCCCCCAAGTCTTCCGAAGTGATTCAGTTCGGATTACGGTGCCCCGGTTTTGCCGCTTCGGAATCCCTAAGCAGCCGACTATAAAGGTCGCGACCCTCTAGCTTCCCTAGGTAATCATTAGGTTGCAACCGCCGAGACGCTATAAAGGTAGAACCCTTTCCTCTTCGTTTTCTTTTTAGTTTTTCTTTCATTCCCTCTATTTTCTCTGTTTTTCTGACTCTTCTCGCCGTCACACCTTTGATTCCTCCTACTTCACCCATGTCGCCACCAAAGCAAACCCCGAAAGCCGGGCAGACTCCGAAAGCGGGGCAGACTCCGAAAGCCGGTGACACCTCGCTTTCCGGCCAGTTTGGCCCGCATCCTCGATCAACGATTGCCGAGGAAGACCTAGTGCACGTAAAGTTCCTCTGCGGCCTTACGTCGGAGGCGGCACTCATGGCTCCGGGAGATGACTTGTCACCGGAGGATCCTCCGCACGGGTACTGTTGCGCCTATGAAATCTTTTTCTCGAGGTGTGGCATGTACTTTCCCTTGCTGGAGCTTCTAGTGAAGGCTATGTTCGCGCTAGGCGTCGCCCTTCCCCAATTATGTCTGAACTTTGTTCGGACTATTCTTTGAATGCAAACTCTGGCCGAAGAGCACGGCTATCTCATCACCTTCCAGGATATCCTCCACCTCTACACGATAAAGAGCGGCCGGACCAAAGAGACTTTCTACCTTAGCCCGCTGGCCAGGCTCCGAGTTTTCGACGACCTTCCCGAGAAGGACGAGCAGTACCGAAGCGGCTACTTCTTCTTCCCGGTCAACCGGGATACCTTTGGCGACCTGCAGGAGTTGTTTGTCCCGCACTGGTCCCAAAAACCTAGTAGAACTGCGAGGAGATCCGAAAATCCTCAGTTTTCGTCTCTCAGTTCGGAGTACTAACTCTTGCTTTGTTGTTTTTTTTTGCCTCCCTTGACCGCGGGCTACTGTCCGAAACCTTTGCGGATTACTTCATCACGTTCTGCGGCGGTCAGATCGCTTGGGACTCCTTCACTTGCCCTAGAATTCATGAGGCCCGCGCCCGCATCCGTACTAGGTTTCCTACTATTTTTTCCCCTCAGTCCGCCCCTCCCAAAATGAATTACCGCGAAGAGAGTACTTACAAGAAAAAGAAGGAGCTAAAGGAGAACGAACTAAAGAAGAAGATGGCTGCTGCGCTGACGGACGCCAAAGCCAAAGTTCCCTCGAAGGAGAGTTCCTCCAGTTCGGCCGCTCCCCCGGAAGGCACGGGTCGCGAGGTGATCACTCTGCCCAACAGCGACCTTAGTGCTGAATCTCCTACCGCTCGTCAGCTCCTGAAGAGGGCCAAGCCAGCGGGTCCAAGAAGCGGAAAGCTGCAGAGCCCGCACGACCGGTACGTGCGAGCTCAAAGCCCCGAACTGAGGAAAAGGCTTATGAAACCCCTGCTTCGAAGGGTTCCTTGCCCACGGCCCCGAGTTCTGCTGACCCGAAGGGAGCTCCGAAGCGCGAACTTCCAGGTAAACTTCTAACCAATAGTCCATTCTTACAACATGCATGTAATCGCGGACTAACACATGAACGCTTCATCTCTTAGCCCCGCCGAAGTCCCTAGCGGACATGATGCGCAGTTTTAGCCGACCCGGAGCTCGGGTCCCTGCCTTCAAAGATATGTCTGTGAATGACCGGGAGGACTACTTCCATTTTGCTGAGAAGGTTGACGAGATAAGCCTACTTTCCCTACCTCACAAGCGGTTGTGCCCCCCCCCCTTCTTTTGACACCTCTCTTTTTACAGATGCTCTTTGAGTTCAACAACTCGGTTGCCCACTATGAGGAGAAGAAGCATAAGACCCTAGAAGCTTCCAACTGAGCTAAGGTGGAAAAGGCGGTTAAATTCAACAAGAAGCTTAAGTCCGTTGAGGTTGATCTGCAGATCGCCGAAGCTTCCTTGGAAACCTACCAAGACAAGGTTCAACTGGCTGGGGATCTATACCTAAAGTCTACCACTGCCGAGACAGAGGCGAAGAAGGAGCTCCAGGAGATCAAGCTCAGGAATCAGCTCCTGGAAGCAGGGAACAGCTCCGAGATGGAGAGGGTGCGGAGAGAGGAACGGAGGAAGACGCAAGCCAAGCTTCGAGATACAATCGACAAGATTGGAGCGCTTCTCGAAGACCATGACCGCCTAATCCTTCACGCGATCCGAGCTGCTGAGATCACCGCCAACCAGATGCTAGTGGAGGAGATCGAGAAGGGCGAGATTGCCGACCTGAAGGATGAGCTTGAAACCTTGAAAGCCGACAAGAGGGGTGTTTGCCTAGAGGCTGAGAAGGTAAAAGACTTAACGTTTCACCCTGCGTCATTTTGCTCCTGCTCCCCTTATGATCGAGGAGCTACGTCTGACTCCCCTGTTGTGCCGAACCAGGAACTGGAAGCAATTCAGTCGGGCCTGAGCAAGGAGGTATTCGCTCCTATCAACCCCGGAGGTGGTGAAGCTCTCGCGGTCGAGGCAACCGGCGCTCCTTTGGCTCGCTCCGAAGACCATGCTGCGGACTCCGAACTCGCTTGACTTCCTGTTGGGGTTGTATTGGTCTTGGACCCCCCTTTTTGTTCATTGCCACTATTGTTTTATGTTTTTTAATTTTCAAACTTCTTAAGACTTATGCTTGGGTGTTTTCGACAACGGAGGTCGCACCCTTTTATTTACTTGAAATTTTACTAAGTTTGCTTTGGATTCGGCTAGTGTTCCATTTTCAAGACGATGAAATGCTTTTATTATCATTCTTTAAAGAATATTTATACTATTAGCTGGACTCGACAAACCGAGCTGCCTACGTACCCAATAAGGGATCAAGCACATCGTAGTTCGATTATAAGTATTAGTTTATTGATTTTCAAAAAGTGTAGAAACGCTTAAGGTGTAAAGCATTCCACGACTTGGGGACTTGCTTTCCGGACAGCTCCTCCAGGCGGTAAACCCCGCTACGCACTTCGGTAGTTACTCTATAAGGACCTTCCCAATTTATGCCAAGTTTCCCGGCGTTAAGCTCCCTTGTATTTTCATAGACTTTCCTTAGCACAAGATCGCCGACGTTGAGATCGCGTCCCCTAACCTTCGAATTATAATACTTAGCGATCGTGCACTGATAATGCTTCAAACGAACTAAAGCTCGATCACGTTTCTCCTCGATGAAATCGAGGGAATCCCGAAGAGACTCCTCGTTCTCCTCAGGCATTCTAGGGTTCATCGTTACACGGACTGCTGTTACAGTGAGTTCCGCCGGGACCACTGCCTCTGTCCCGTACACCAACGAAAAAGGAGTTTCGTGCGTTGCCCGTCGAGATGTGGTTCGGATTTCCCATAACACGCCCTGCATCTCCTCGGCCCACCGACCTTTATACGAATCCAGCCGCTTTTTTAGGTAGGCCAGTATTACTTTATTCATTGCTTCGGCCTGGCCATTCCCTGAGGGTAACAGGGTGTGGACTTGCTTAACCGGATCTTCCAATGGGCGCAAAAAGCCTCGAACTGCCTCGACACGAACTGCGATCCATTATTAGTTACTATCTCGTACGGGAGTCCGTGACGGCAAATCACATCCCTCCACATGAATTGTTGGACTTGAACACTTGTTACAGCGGAATACGCAACCGCCTCCACCCACTTGGAAAAGTAATCGGTAAGGACTAATAAGAACCTTACCCCCCTTGTTGAGTTATGCAAAGGTCTTATTATGTCCATGGACCACCTCATGAATGGGTAAGGAGCTAAGATTGACGACATGAGTTTCGAGGGCTGATGAATCGTGGGTGCGTGCTTCTGGCACTTCTCGCAATTTCTCACAAACGCTTCGCAGTCCGCCTTCATCGTTGGCCAAAAGAAACTGTATCGCTTAACTTTGATGACTAGTGTTCGAGCTCCCGCATAGTCCCCATTGGGTCCATCATGGATTGACCGCATCACTATCCCCGGGCACTCACCGGCGATGCAAGTTAAATAAGGACCTCCGACACTGCGACGGAGCAAACCCTCATTGTGCAGGTAGAATCTTGCCGATATGTTTCTGATCTTCCGAGCTTGCAACTTATCCCGGGGTAGCTCGCCCTCCCTTAGGTAGGCTAGGAGAGGGGTTTTCCAGTCCGTTTCTTGATTACCTGCATGGAGCTCTGAAAAGCCTTTTGACTCCCCTTCCCCGGGTCCTTCCCCATGGAGCCGATACTCCGGAGTTTTCCTCACTCAGATCGGGAGGACCCTCCGGTACCGAAACGTCCCTTCGAGGTCTCACGGCCTTGGTAGGAATAACAGGCAGCTCGGGCACTATTTCCCCCTATCAAGCGGACTCTGCATTGACCTCGTAAGGATGTTCACCTCGCTTAGGAAAACGCTGGGGCGTTCCAAGACCTCCACCGGGATAATCTGTGTGAAGGCAGGATCCATGGTCGAGGTAAGGGACGCCAACGAGTCAGCAGCCGAGTTCTCCGCCCTAGGAATTTTTCCCAACTCGAAGTGCTCGATTCGTTCGGCCAGTTCCCTTGCCTCGGCTAAATAGGCTCCCATGCGCCCGTCTTTTGCCTTGTACTCCCCCGAAAACTGATTTACCACGAGCTGGGAATCGCAGAAAGCACGAAACCGATGGACTCCAATTCCTACAGCCAACTGAAGCAGATATTCAGCTTCGTTATTCGAGGCGTCGAATGCTAATCTAAATGACTGTTCGATCACCTCATTAGTGGGTGCGCGAAGCCTTACTCTGACACCGCTGCCTTGTTTGGACGAGGCCCCGTCGACGTGTAGCGTCCACGGGCCTTCCTCTCCGCCTTTTGTACCGACAATAGGCAGTTCGATTAGGAAGTCGGCGAGCACCTTTGATTTAGCAGCAGTTCGAGCTTGAAACTCTAGTTCGTACTCACTAAGCTCGACTGCCCATTTTGCCATCCGCCTATATTGGCTCGGGCTGTGAAGAATAGTTCGCAATGGCTGCGAAATTAGAATCACAATCGTGTGAGACTGAAAGTACGGCCGAAGCTTCCTAGCCGAGGTGACCACGGCAAAGCTAACTTCTCCATCAAAAGGTAACGAACTTCAGCTCCTGTGAAGGTTTTACTTATGTAAAACACCGGTCTCTGTTCTCCCCTTTCTTCCTGTACTAGTACCCTGCTCACGGTATGTTCAGATACGGTGACGTATAGAAACAGGGGTTCCCCGAGCTCGGGTTTGGCGAGAACAAGAGGGTTACACATATATTGCTTGAGCTGCCCGAATGCTTCCTCACATTGCTCCTCCCACCGAAAGTTCTTGTTGCCTTTACGGAGGAGTTCAAAAAAAGGTAAGCATTTATATGTGGAGCTAGAGATGAATCTGTTTAGCGCCGCAATCCTCCCATTCAGGCGCTGAACTTCACGGAGGTTCCGTGGTGAAGTCAATGATAGAAAGGCCTTAATCTGCCTAGGATTCGCCTCGATTCCCCTTTCGGTCACAATATAACCCAGGAATTCTCCCGAGGGGACCGCAAATGTGCATTTGGTTGGGTTCAAGTTCATGCCGAATTTGTTGAGGATCGCAAAACAATCCTCGAGATGCCCGACGTGCTGGCAGGACTCCATCGACTTCACTAGCATGTCGTCAATGTACACTTCCACAGTTTTTCCCAACAGCTCGGCGAACATCCTATTTACCAACCGCTGGTAGGCAGCTCCGGTATTCTTTAACCCGAACGGCATCAATTTGTAGCAAAAGGTTCCTCGATCCGTGATAAAAGATGTCTTCTCTTGGTCGTCGGGATGCTTCATGATTTGGTTGTATCCCGAAAAAGCGTCTATAAACGTTAACAGCTCGTGCCCCGAAGTGGACTCCACCAACCGGTCAATATGCGGGAGAGGAAAACTGTCCTTTGGGCAAGCCTTATTTAGGTCGGTGAAATCAACACAGACCCGTGACTTGCCATTTTTCTTCTTAATTACTACCGTATTCACCAGCCATTCCAGGTACTAGACTTCTCGAATAAGCCCGGCTTCGAGCAGGCGGTCCACCTCGGCATTCACCACGTCGGCCCGCTCTTTTCCCAACTTTCTGCGCTTCTGCCGAACTGGCTTGAAAGTGGGGTTGACATTGAGCTTGTGAGATATCACGTCGGTGCTGATACCAACCATTTCCTTTACCTCCCATGCGAAGGTTGACTTATTCCTTCGTAGGAAGCTAATCAATTCTTCCTTAACTCTCGGGGACAAGCCTGCCCCAATTTTTACTTTCTGGTCGGGGATTGGATCTCTTCGTAGAGGTCACCGTTCATCGTACTCCTCATCGGGTTCTTGGCGATCTCGAGCTGTGGTTGCTATTGGATCAAGAGCTTATGCCCGGTCAGATAGCAGCTCCAAGCCGTACGCTGGCTGCCTAGTATCTCACGGACTCCGTTAGGTGTTTTAAATTTGACGCACTGGTGATAGGTGGATGGGACCGCCTTCATCTGATACAACCACGGAGTCCCTAGAATGGCGTTATAGGCCGCCGGTTGGTCGAAGACGGTGAACTCCACCATCTTGGACACCTCTTACGCGGCAACCGGAAGGGTTATCGTACCCAAGGACATCGAGGTCTCGCTGGTGAATGACACTAAGGGAGCCGGAGGTCCGACGATGTGACTCCTGTCGATACCCATCCTTGTAAGAGTATCCAGAAAGATTAGATCCACTGAACTCCCCCTGTAAACCAGTATCCTACACACTTCGTGGTTTGCCACGTTTAGGGTAATGACCAGCACATCGTCGTGAGGGGAGTCTAGGCTCTCCGTCTCTTCTTCCGAGAAAGTTATCTCAGGGTACACCTCGCACGTCTTCTGCTTCTTTGGGGCTGATCCGTTCAATTTCCTTTGGTGATCCTTTATGCCCCTAATAGAATTTCGGAATATCCTGGACCCACCCATGATCACATCGATACGCTTCTTCATACCCTGAGGAATCTCTTCGATAAGTGCCTTTGGTTTTTTGGCCGGGGGGAGCTCCTCCTCTTCGGGAGCTGCCTCAGCTACGAGCTGGACTGCATTCTTCGCCTGATCGAGCTCGTCAATTGTTATATCTGGCATTCCCCCGTTCATGAATCTCTCCGCGAGTAGATGCATAAGCTTTTTGCAGTTCCGGGTAGCGTGTCCAGCCACCTTATAGAGTTCGCAGAAGGAATCGTCTTCCTGCTCCTCCCGGGTCCACTTATTGCTGGGTAAGACCCTGTTTCTGCCTCGTGGTCCGAACCCTTGTTTCGACGAGACGCCCTTCGACCCCCCTTCTGGTGGTTCATCGCGAAGGTGGCTGGCCCAGGTCTTTGACCCTGCAAGCTTCGTTTGGCTCCCTGATCGAAGCTCGGCTTGGGAGTTACTTTGTATTTCTTGGCGAGTGCGGCTTTCTCCTCCTCCGCTACGATCCAGTTCGATGCCCGATGGAGAGCGTCCTGGATACTGGATGGGCGGTTAACCGTCAACTCTTCCCTGAGTCGAGACTCGTGCCATAGACCATTTTTTAGGGTGGCCAGCGCCGCTGAATCGGAGAGTCCGGAAATCTGGACCATTATCTCCTTAAACT